GATGTTCCCTAGGACTCCGAAATGGGCCCCGCCCCTGGGGGCCCCACCCATTCACCCAGGCCCTCTCAGACCCCATGTGGTCAGTGGTGGGCCAGGCACTCTCAGACCCCATGTGGCCAATTCCAGGCCCTACAATTGGCTGCTGTGCACAGAATCCCTACCTCCGAGTAGGCCAGATGCCCACAGGTGGGTAGGGTCTCTTTCCCACACCCAAGGGTCAGACGTGTCCCAATGAGAGGCCACCCCAGGTGTCTGGGCAGCCTCCAAGCAGGCCAGGGTCAAGACCCCCTGAAAAGTCTGCCTAGTGCCCCTGATGGCGCCTCACCTGCCCCTTCCGGCACAGACCGCAAAATTTCACTTCCCAGTCCCTGGGTCAGTCAGTTCCGGGCATGGGTGGAATGTTCCAACGCCCACACTTTGCAGCTGGGCCAGGCTGGCTGGGGGTGCCTGAGCCTCCTGGAGCCCACAGAGCAGGGGGAAGAGCTGGACAAGCATCCACCGGTCAACATCTGAGGATGCACACTTTGGTCAGCACACCTCGTCGTCATGGGCCCAGGGTGCAACAGGAGCCTGAGGGACCCAGTCCTGGATATGGAGGAGGAACCGCAGACGAGTGAATGGCTCCCTGGCGACATGTGGGGTGGGCAGGCCTCATGGCTCCATACCCAGTCCTGGGTCTGTGGCTCCTCCTCAGCCGCACAGAGCAGGTTTGTGACCAGCAGAGCAGAAGGCTCCTCTGAACACACCTCCGAATTCATGGGCCCAGAATAGACACACTTCTAGAAGCAGTAGCCTGGTTGGGCCCTGGGTGTCTTCCGGATTCTGCAGGCAAATTCCCACAGCTACTGGGACAGGAGGACCTGCATCACGATGGCCTGGAGGACCCCAAAAGCCCCTGCAAAGAGTGTCTCGGGAGCGTGTGATGACCGCGCATCTTGCTTATGTCTGGAGGTCTGGAACTCTTGGAGGTCAGGAGAGGAACAAGGCTGTCTGTGGGCAGCCATCTTGGGCCCTGACTGTCCCTTGCCAAGTTGAGCGCCCCTGTCTGGGGCCTGGTTAGAGGCCTGGTCAGCAGGACTCCCTGACAGGCGAGGGCCGTGCCTTCCCATAGAGTGCCCTGGACACGGCGGTCGGCCATTCCCAACTACCCTACAGGAAGCAGGGTGGAAGGGGGTTGGGAGCTGTGGCTGACTTACAGGGCACAGGACCTGGGTGGAGCCAGGAATGTAGTCAGGTCTCCCTGGCTCCTGTAGCCTGCCACAAAGCCCAAGCAGAGGTCATGGGGAGGCTCCTGTGGTCTCTCTTCCTCATTCCCACCCCGGCCAACCATGGCCCCAGGTCAGAGTCGGGGCTTTTGGGTGACCTCCCTTCCTGGAGGCCTTGGGTGCCCCTGGGGTCACGTGGCCCCAGCCCACAGCCAGCTGTCCTGGGGTCCCGTGGCCTAGGTGGATAGGACAGGGTGGGGGCCAGTCACAAGATTGGCTCGAGGAAGGCTGGCCCAGGTTTTGGGACCCAGTGAGGCTGGGAAGTCCCCGGAGCCGGGACCCCCCAGCCCTCTCCCTCCTTCCTCCTCTCCAGCCTGGTTGAGCCACACCTGGGCCCCGCCCGACCGCCCCATGCCGCTTCCTCAGTCTCTTCTGCTCAGGCCTCCTCTGGGGTTCCATGGACGCCCAGCACCCCAAGACAAGGGGCCAGAGCTGGTCTCATTCTGTGTTGTGGAGGCACTCAGAGACACTGGCCCTGTTCACAGGACAGAAGGAGAGACCAAGGCTGGAGTACAGAGAACACCTGCCTCTCGGACAGCATGTCAGGCTGCTGTCACGGCAGGTAAGGCCACGTGTACCAGGCTTCTGAGTGGCCCATGACAGACAGGGAAACAGTGCACCCGGCTGGCCTGGGGTCAGTGTGGGGAGCCAGAGGACACACCTCAGCCTCTGCACACTCTTTACCTCCACTCACATGACTATGGAGCCCTTCTCGCAATCAAAGCGCCCCTTGATGAAACTTTAGATGATTCCCAGAAGGGAAAAAAAAAAAACCTAAAATGTCAAGGATAAATAAATAATGCTATTCCCTTTCAGAGAATGAACTTAAACGTCAAATTAAATCCCTCAGACTTTCTTAGAACAACAAATTCTGAAAATAACAGGACAACACACTCAGAGTTTTGAAGGGAAAATGATTCTGACCCAAGATTTCCTACAAAGCTGTGGGGTCAGCACCATGGCAGAGCTGGGGACTTTCCCAGTAATGCAGGGGTGATGCCACCAAACACCATGACCCTGTACAGAGAGGCACTTGAGGAACCCAGTGAAATACAGAGCTGTTGGCCCTGAACACAGGGAGAACAGAAGTTAGGGCAAGTTCGGTGATTATCATGGTGCGGCTGAAAATTGGGGTGCACGTGCCACGAGTGCTTGTGGAAGAAAACTTGATACACTAAAACAAACCACAGCAGACAGCCATGTAGGCACTGCTTTAAAATGTCGGTAGGAACAGGACAGAGTGGATGGAAGGGGGTGGGCGAGAGCAGAGGTGGATGATTTCCTCTCGCACAGGGAGGAGACCTGCCATAGACACCGGTGATTAGAAATAAGGTGATTAAAGGGATTAAGAATATGGTGACTCCTGGAAAGTTAAAACTGGTGAAGGTCTCCCAGGTCCCTTGTGAAAATATAGCATAGTAGGCCCCAGCAGTGAGAGACAAAAGGAAACAGGAAACACATACAGCAACATAGCCACCACCGAGACAGCAGGAGAGATAGGACACACGTGGACCCCAGGAACAGACACTGTGGTTCACAGTGACCACAGTCATGTCCCCTCAGGAGGAAAAACTAGACCGACGGTTCTCAGTCAGTGATTACCTCAATTCAAACCGTACCCCAAAGTCAATCCAAGAGACGGGAGAGATCCATTCAAAACACAGAGCGGGGCCAGGCATGGTGGCTCATACCAAAATCCCAGCAATTTTGGAGGCTGAGGCAGGAGGACTGCTTGAAGCCGGGAGTATGAGACCTGCCTGGGCAACATGGCAGGACCTTGTCTCTACAAAACACACAAAACAAAAAGTGAAAGCATAAGAGACCTGGACAAGACCACAGATGATAACTTGCCCTGGGCAGGAAGGGGCCAGGCCTGGCAAGCCAGAACCGGTAAGGTCAGAAGGCTGAGAGCCCCACATACCCCAATTACAGGGAAAAAATCAAAGACTGCAGGTTACACGCCAAAGTGCAGCCACCCGTCACGGGTAAGAGGTTCTTGTACATCACTCACAAAACAAAATCCAAGAAGAAAGTGGATGAGCAAGGCGTGGTGGCTCAAGCCTGTAATCCCAGCACTTTGGGAGGCCAAGGCGAGAGGATTGTCTGAGCCCACAGATTCGGGACCAGCCTGGGAAACATGCTGAGACCTCGTCTCTACAATAAATCAAAAAATTAGCTGGGCGTGGTAGTACATGCCTGTAGTTCTGGCTACTTGGAAGGCTGAGGCAGAAGGACCACTGGAGCCCAGCAGGTCGATGCTGGGGTGGCCGTGAGCATGCCACTGCACTCCAGCCTGGGCGATGGAGATTCCAACTCAAAAAAAAAAAGTGGATGAAAGACATAAATAAGTTACTTTTTAGAAAAAGAACTGGCCAAACATGAACATCTGGACATGAAAAGTGTGAGTTTCATGGACGCACATGCCCCACATCAGCCCTGCCCCCGTTCACCCATTGCCAGAGCCTATAGGCTCAGGTAGGCATGGCCATGGCAGCCCCGGGGTGGCCAACGGGTGCACGTGCACCGGGTGACCTGGCAGTGTTGCTTCTGGGACTTGTCTTCAGGAAGCCATCGAGACTGGCCTGGCACCCCAGGATTTATGTCCTTGTGTGGCAGAGCTCAGGTCTCCCAGGTGGTACCCCGACGCATTGGCATCCCCCCAGAAGGTCACAGTGGGGCTAGTCTCCGGCAGCTGAGGTGGGGCAAGCCCAGCTGTTTTTGCAGGTGCTCAAGGTCACATCAGAGGATACAGCCAGGGCCCTCCGTTGCCCTCCAGGTTCCGACCTTGGCCCCCAGGAACGTCCATCTTGGGCCAGAAGGACATGAGAGGTTTTCAGCTCAGCGCTTGCCGCTGCCCCACGGACCAGGGGACCCAGGAGGCCCAGCAGGAGCCCTGGACTGGGTTGGCCCGTGAAGCATGGCAGAGACCACCGGAAGGTTCAGGGAGGCACCAGTCTCCTCCCTTAGGCAGTCACCTCTACCTGCTGGAGCCAAGCCTCGCTGCTGCCCCTGCACTTCCAGGCTTGGGCCGGACCCCTCTGTGACTTGGACAGTCTGTTGGGGTGGTCCCCGGAGCAAGGCTGGTGGCCCATGGGTGCTCCTGCCCCCACTGTGCACCTCTCACAACTTGGGATGTCTCAGAGAGGTAGGGGCCGGTCACAAAAGCCTCCCCTAGGTCAGGCCATTCCAACCTGCCCACTCCCCTGATAGGGCTCCTCGTAACCCTCACCCTGGCCGCAAGATGCCCTCTTGCCTGCCCTCACAGCATGACCAAGAAGCTCCTCTCATGAGTGCACTGCATCCTGTGTTTTCCCAGTGATTATGGCATGAACATCCATCTTTTATCTGGAGCCGCCACCAGCCTTGGCCACTGAGCCCCGGGGCAGGAGGCGAGAGGAAGGGCTGGGAGGTTCCAGGAAGCCCAGGTCCAGCTACCGGCTCGGGGACAAGGGAGGAGCCATCAGAGGCAGGCAGGACGCCCCCCATCTTGTCGTTGCTCCCTGCCCACCTCACCTCTGCAGGACCCAGCTGGGCATGGCCACCCTCTTCCCCCAGTGTCCAGGGTCCTGACACCAACTGAAGGCTGAGAACCTGCCCAGCAGGCATATTTTCTCCATCTGCCTGTGCTGCACACACCATGAGGGGCCGTTGTGGGAGTCCCAGGAGGGGGGCAATGGCCTTGTGGCCACCATGGCTTTGCCCACTCTCCAGACGGGTACACTGGGAGAGCCATACCTGAAGTCTCCGTGTGGGCACCAGGGTCGTGACCTCATGGACAGATGGGGTCAGCAGAGCAAGCAGGAGATGGAATCGAGGGCCTGGGTCCAGGCCTTGGTGTGTGACCAGAGGCAAACGCCCTCCTTTCTCTGGACCTGTTTCCCCACGTGCAAGACGTGACTGCCAAGGCCAGCTCTACAAGGAGGCCAAAGGAGCAAGGGTACTGGGAAGCACCAGCCTAGGGCTACAAACAGATCACCAACACGCTGCTGCCCCATGGCCGGTGAGCCCCACACAGAACACGCTGCTGCCCCATGGCCGGTGAGCCCCACACAGAACAGGCACCGTGGCTGGTGGTTCTTATGAGAGGGAGGGCGATGGGCCAGGGCTGGGGTTCCTGGCTCAGCAAGGCCTCTTCTCTCTGTCCTGCCCGCTCTGGGCCCTCTTGGCTGGGTCTGTTCCCAACAGAAGGCACGTATGTTGCCAGGTGGGGGCTTGACATGTGCATGTGAGAGTACGAGTGTGTTTAAAACACAGAAGGGAGCGTGCCGGCACAGTGCGAGAGGCTGCCGGCTCAGTCTGTGCCAAGTTCCCTCCACGCCTGCGCCAGGGGCTCAGGAGGCGCCGGGCAGAGCACGGGGTGCGGGGAGGATGGACGCATGTCTCTGATGTGCACCAGCGGCTGCGTGGGGCCAGACCCACCTACAGAACCCACTGTGAGCGCTGGCAGCAGTGTCGGAGACGGTAGCAGTTGGCAGAGGCGCCCAGAGGACAGGCTGGAGCAGGCGGTCATGGCACAGGTACACACAGGCTCGTTGTGCGGGCACCTAGCATCTGCATTGGGTGGGAGGTGGGCTGGGTCTCAGCCTGGCAGCAGGTCGTGTGGCACAGTCGGGGAGGGCCATGTCCAGTAGGGTCTGGCGCTATCGTGTCTGGGCCAGTTCGGCGGACGCTCACGCCTCTTGACTCCCCCAGCACTAGAGACGCTGCTGTCCTGGGGCCTGTCTGCCTGGGCATCTTGGCCCCGAGCAGGGGCTTGGCAGGCTGGGTGGGGCTAGTGCAGGGGGTTGGGGAGATGCCTGGCCCCAGAAGCCATGTCCCTGGTCCCTCCCCTGGGGTCTCAGGTAGTATCACCTCTCCCGATGCACTTCAGGGGCAGGTCCTCTCTGCCCAGTTCTGGAAAGTCCCCACGAGGTCCTTGAAGGCTTGTCTCCTCCTGGCTGCTGGCATGGGCTGGGAGTTCGGGCCTGAGGACTGGCTGTAGGTGACACCTGCAGGCTCCTGAGCTCAGGGGGGCATCTTGGCCTCTCTCCTTCCATCTTCCCAGAGCTGCTGTCCTCTGTGCCCAGCCTGACCGGCACCTTGGGGCCTGTGCACAGATCCACAGACCACAGATCCACAGACCAAGGCCAAGGGTGCCATCAGAGTAACTCAGTGGCAGTGCCAGCAGCCCAGCTGCCAAGGTCTGGCGGGGAGCCACAGGGGGAGGGAAGCTGTTGGGGAGGGAAGCTGTCAGCTGTCGGAGAGGGCAGTCCCGGGGGAGGAGCCAGAGGGGTTTTTCCAGCAGCTCCAAGGACACAGCCCTGCCACCCCTTCCCAGAGCCACAGGCTGGGCAGAGAGGGCTAGGGGCACTTTTCACCTGCCAGGAGGTGGCCCCAGGTGGACCAGAATACAGACAGCCAGGCTGTCCCTCCCTCATGAGGATCCACGGTGCGGGGGGCAGTGTGCCTCTCCCTCCACATGTGTGGCCGGTGGAGCTGACATGGCCTGCACCCACGGCCCAATGTGGGCACAGCACAGGGGGGCTCTGGCCACAGGAGGACCTCCGGGCCAGTCCTGTTTCAGGAGTTGCTGCAGTGGGTGGCACACAGACAAGCAGGGACCCAGTCCTGTGGAGACCAGGAAGCAGCTGGGCCTTGGAGCCTTAACAAGCCGAGTTAGGGGCCTCCCCTGAGGGGCTGGAGGGGCCCTAGAGGACAAGGCCAGGAGTCTGGGCTGAGGGGCGGGAAGGTGGCACTGAGGCAGGCCAGGTGGGACTGGAGACCCATGAGGGGTATGGCCTGGCTTCTGACCTCTGAGCAAGGCTCAGACTCTGCAGGGCTCAAGCCTAGGACCCCTTCAGCAGGGCAAGGGCTCTCGGAGGTGGCTGCCCTTCTCTTCCCACCGGGCTCCAGCTCGGGCCAGGACCTTCTGACAGGGCGACTTCCCTCTCAAGAGTCCTGAGGGGGACTCGGCTCCAGGGAGCACCTGCCCACCGGCACCTGGAAACCTGAAGTGCGGGGACACGGCCCTGCAGTCATGGCAGCAGGTACAGGCGCAGCAGGGCCAGCAGAGCAGGGCCCTGGTTTTGGGTGTCAGCAGATGAAAGCCCTGGATGAGGAGTGGGCAGGGGCTTCTGCTGAGGGCCCCAGCCCAGCCTTCCTGGCTCCCAGGACTGGGGATGGGCAATGTCCTTGTCCCCCCCAGAGTACCGGGTGGGCAGCAATTCCTGGGAGTCCCAGAAGCAGACTCGGGGGTGTGGGGTGCTGGCTGGAGCCTGGGATTGGGGCCTGCTGATGGGTGGGGTGACCTGCACCTGTGGCCCCCAAGCCTCAGTCTTGGGCCCTTGAGTTCATGGACAGCCCTCTCACCTGGGTGCCAGGGGACCAGGCAGCCTGTGTCAGGGGCTGGCTGAGCACCAAGGGGCAGGGTGCGGCCCTGACTGTCCACCTGCCTCCCACAGTGGGTCCAGGCCCAGTCTCACTGCACAACTGACGACCTGATGCCCCCAGCCCAGGTGGTGTGTGCACCTTCAGCATGAAGGACTGGCCCAATTCCCACCCTGCCCGAACTCTGGTCTGCATCCTCCCCAGGGTCCTCCCACCCAGAACTGCTCTGACCTGGCCATGGACCTGGGTGGGAGGGTGGGCGGGGCTGTCAGCAATCAGCCAATTGGCCCCAGCCCCCTGCCGTCCCAGTCATGGCTGCCCCACACCCTGCAGGGCTTGGTGGGTGGGAAGGGGTAGCTGTGGCAGGAGGCACACATGCCTCCCTCCTCCCTCTGAACTTCACAGTTCCTGCCTCCTGCACCAGTGCAGAGCTCCCTGGAGACTCCCGCCTGCTGTTCCGAGCCCACACTGCTTCCCTGGTGAAATATTCATGGCATCTCTGCCTCTTGACATGGATTCCTCCCACAGGCCCACAGCACGAGCCACAGGCTATGCCCAGGAGGGAGCAGGCACCACCCTTCCCCAGCCCCAAACCTTGGCTGGGTCCATCCCTACATCCCTCCCCTCTGCCCCATGAAGGATCCGGGGTTCCTGTGGCCTCACCATTCACCACAACCCAGAGGCCTCCCTGCCTCCTCAACCCCAGAGAGCCCAGAGCCAGGCACGTCCACCTTGCATAAGGCTCTGAAGGTCGCCACCTGCACAGGAATGAGCCACCCCCAGGGACCAGGCACCCACATAGGATGAGGCAATCCATGAGCAGGGCCTCCTCCATGACTTGAGGCCCAGAGCCTCACTGCACGCCAAGACTCAGTTTCCAGAGCCCACCCTGGCCCTCCTGCTGTCTGGCACCTGCCAGTCATCCACTCACCCTCCAGCCTTGGCTCATCCTCCTCCCTTGCACTTTGGATGCTCATGTGGGAGAACTCCCCCCTGCTTTCTGCAACCCAGCAAGGGGCCAATGTTAGTGCCCCCAGGTTTCTGAAACACTGTGGTCAAGACCGCAGCTCTGGGCCCTCTGCACCCCACCTGGGCGCACCAGCCTCCAGGTGGGTTGCCCTGCCCCTGCCCCCAGCTACCTGCACAGCCGAGAACATCCTCACCATAAGTGCCCACACTCTGTGGACAGGAGGGTCTCCCCCATTGGAGGCAGCAGCTTTGGGTCAGCCCTCTCCAAACTCCTCAGGCCCTGCAGGAAGTCAAGGCTCCAGTGGTCTTTGCTGCTGGGCTGTCTGATGGCGGGAGGCTGGAACCGAGGGGAGAGGAGGGGGCTGAGCTCCCCAGCAGAGCCTCCGAGGGGCTCCGAATTCCAACCCAGTCACCTGTTGCTGGCTCCTGTGAGCTCTCTGTGCAACTTGGGGCCCGCGCCTTCTGCCCTTATGCTCTGCTCAGGATTCAGGGTAGGGGGAGATGGATGGGTCTTGGGAGAGGCCGCAGGGCAGGGCAGGACAGGACCCAAGAGTAAGCATGAGCCTGGCCCTGCCACATGGCCCTTGGTGTCTGAGCCGGTGATCCCAGCTGCCTGGGACTTCGTAGCAGTTCCTGGTCCCAAACCTACCTGCAGGAAGAGGCTCCGTCAGCCATGGCCACAGGCGCCTGCCACCTCTTCCTGGGGGCCACCCTCAAAGAGACTAGGAGAGTCTCTTAGCCAGCGGAACCTGCCAGTCCAATTGCTTCCACAAAGGGCCAGCCATTGGGAAACGTCTGTGCTGATGGGGGAAGGGACCGGGAGTCCCCAAGGCTACCTGAGTCTTCCATGGGCCCTTCCCACGTGGAAGAGGACAGATGCATGACCTCCAGCACTGGCTCGATCTGGGACTCACATGCAGGGTGAGGACTTGGGACAGAGCCAGAGAGGCCACAGAAAAGTTGAGGTGGGCAGAACATCATCTTCAGAGGAGTGGGAAGGGACCAGGCAGTGTGTCCTGCATGGAGGGGTCTCTGCGCCCTGATTAAAGGAGACAGAAATCATCAGGAGACTCCCCAAAGTCAGAGGTTGCCTCAGTGGAGCCAGCTTGGCCACTGACTCTGCCTGTGGCCGGCAGACCTTACCATGGGGTTAGTGAGCACAGAGGCCTAGCTCTGGTCCGTGGTGGTGGCCACCCGGGGCTATTCTCCTCTTGGCCTGTGGCTGCCCATGTAGCACTGAAGGCCTGGCCTATACAGGTGCCCTCCCCACTTGTCTGGAAGACTCTCCCCAGATCAGAACCAGTGGCCCCGGGCTCCACTCTGCGTTGTTCTGGATGGTCTTGGCTGGGGGCGCCCAAGAGGACCCTGGTGGGCTCCGGGCCTGCCTGGCCCTTGGCGACTCCTGCCCACCTGCCTGGCCCTGGGGACTTTGGGTTTAGTCTTTTGTCTTTAAGGGTCAGTCTGACCCTGA